TCTAGGATCTGAGTTAGTGTTGTGTTTATGAGTCATAATTTGTGATTGGATGATTTAGGGATATCATGTATGACCTTGGGGAAGTTACAAGTAGGTGTATAAGGTAGTATTGGGCCCGTACTACTGAAAGCACAAGACCTATACCTGAATGAAAGACAGACCTGATAGTCTTAGAAGTTCGATGATGAGGAATCTCTTTCGAATTCTTTATCTTGGTTATTTGTGATGTTTTCAATTGAGGATGGTGATGATCATACGAGGTTCAGGTTTAGGTTCAAGATTAGGTTCAGGCTCGGGTGCAGAGCCTATCGATGAGAGGCTGCGCGATCTTATAGCAGCTGAGGTTACTCATGGCATCCTTGACGCTACCCTGGTGATTTTCGGTAATGTCAAGGAGGGCATCATGAAGATCATGGAGGAGCGACTCAGGTCTTTCCGAGCCAAGATTGTTGCAGACCATATTGGGGCCCGAGCTCCCTCGTTCATGAAGTTTAAGGCGTGTGGAGCGCCTGAGTTCTTTGGGGTCAGGGATCCCATCTCTAGTCAACGTTGGGTGGTAGACATGGAGAATGCCCTCGCACGAGCTATTGCCCCAAGGTGGAAAAGGTGGGGTTTATATATTGTATGTTGAGGGATCGAGCACGAGATTGGTGGGAGGAGGTAACACAAGGTGGGATCTGCGGGTGTGGATGAGATGTCCTGGGAGGTGTTTGTGAGGAGGCTTGATCGGGAGTTTGCACCGCCCATTGAGGTGCAACGTTTGGTGAGAGAGTTTCAGGATTTGCAATAGACTACCGAAACTGTGGCGGAATTTAGCGTCAAGTTCCAGGAGAGGGCACTATTGGTCCCGCAGTACGCTGGGGATAAGGAGATGAAGAAGACGAGGTATCATTCCATGCTGAGGGATGATATCCGTGAGTTTGTGAGCTTTTTGGGGTGCAAGACCCTGAATGAGATAGTGGAGAAGGCCCGGGAGCAGGAAACTGAGTTAGAGCTCCGCACGAAGCGGAAGCCAAAGCAAGTTCATGCAACAGTGGGACAGACTAAGAAGCTTAAGACCTCTGATCCTCCCAACAGGGGCCAGCAGGGTCGTGACCGTTGTGCCAAGTGTAGTAAGCCGCACAGTGGAGCTTGCCAAGCAGCGGACTCAACATGTTATGCATGTGGCCAGCCGGGTAACATGAGCCTTTAGTTGTAGATCATAATGATCTTGTTTCTTTTTGTAATTGAAATGTTTTATTCCTAATTTTTATGGTTTGCAAATAAAAATTATGGTTCATGTTTTATAAGTTAAAATTGGCTTTATATTGACATCTTAATCCATATAATGTAATAATGTATATTGCATAATTAAGATATTATGGGCAAATTTGAATATGACTTCATTTTGCTAGGATATTCTGAGCCTGATTTGATCTCACAATCATGATCTTGCAATACATTAAACGATCTTAGGTAAGATCTTGATCTTGATAGCCTTGCCTCAAAGAAATAAAACCAAAAACCTAGTAATGCAATTATTCATATTTATAATGATGATCTGGTATATAAATTCGAAGTAATATAATCTCTACACTTATGTTTGAATTTAATCGAAACATTTATAAAAAGCAAAATACCAACATGGTAATGCAGAGTTATCTCTTTCTTCCAAAAAATGTTAATATATTTTTGTAGCATGCCTTGTTTGATTGTTTGCCTATTAAGTGGAAGCCAAGCCATAACGGAGTTAAAGTTCACTCTATTCTTTGTCCGATTTGTATTGTTTCTGTGGAAGCTCTTGATCATCTTTTTATTGTTTTGTGAGCTTGCTTTCAACATTTGGACGAAAGTATTCCCTTTGTGTGATTTAGATAAACTAGAGCGACTTACTGTGACATATATCTTTAACTGAATTGATATTATTGATGGTGGTTCTAAGAAGCGAGATACTATGGAGGATATTATTGTTGTGGGAATTTGGTCAATTTGGAGACACCGAAATGATTTGATTTTTGCTAAGGAGATTCCACAAATGGACAAATTTTTCTATAACAGTGTTGATTTCTTTTTTAATTGGTTTGTTTTTAGAAAATTCAAAGTTTCTGCTAGATGGGTTCATTGGTTATCAAACTCGATTCTAGCTATTTTTGTAATTTTCTAGCTCATTGCTAGTTTCTTTTATAAAATTCAGTTGTTCTAAAAATATGACTTGGTCGATCTGTTACCCTACTCAATGAATTACTTTAGACATTTTTAAGAATAATAGTATAAAAACAATAATCCTAATATTTTATGAATGTGATTTGAAAGGTTAATAGTATAAAAAGAATAATCCTAACATACATGATGACATGAGAAAGCATCTAATGAAATATAAATACGCCTCACATTTTATTCATTAGTCGTGATTTTCTAGTGATAGATACCCTTCATTGTATTTAGCTATTTGTAAATGTGCATGTTTATTTAAACGATTCCCACTTCAAGTCAAATTGTAAATGTCGAACTTTAGTGTACATAAAGTCATATCCTATGTTTTCCTAAGTTTTATTTTCAAAACAGTTAAATTATACATTTTATTATTATTAAATCATTAACATATTAAGATAAATGTTATATATATATATATATATATATATATATATATATATATATATATATATATATATATATATATAATAATAATAATAATAATAATAATAATAACTACCAATCGAATAATATTGGAGTCAAGCTCTAACTGAATAAGCGTAAGTCAAATGAGCCAAAATGAGCTATGACTGAATCAAAAGTTTTTAAATATGATATAGACAAGCTGAATCTAAGTGAGTTAGATCCAATCTTTTACCAGATCTAGTAAGAAACATATCAAATAATTCATAATTTTTAAAGAATTTTGAAAAAATCATTATAATTTAATTATTATTATTATTATTATTAGACCATCAACAATACAATATTACTATTATTATTTTTATCATCATTATCCAAATATGAAAATTTTCAATCATTTCATATGGATAGAATCTCGGTATACCGATTTTAGTTATTTTTGTTTTAGAAACATTTTTTTTTTCGATTTTCTAAAACTGTTAGGTTTTTGGTTTAACTTATTTTAGCTGCGTGTTGTTTTTTCATTAGTTGCATGCCAACTGATTTATTAAATATAAACCACTTATACTCGGTACATATCCTTAATATATTATTAAATTATATTTAGATTAAATGGTTAAATTGATCCTACTTAATAAATAACTATGTCATTTACTAATATTTTACATTAAGCACACCAACCACTAACCACCGTTGAGCGTTAGGGGAAATGATCATTGGGATTTGGAGTATTGGTGGGCAAAAATTATGTTCGTTTAGCTGGTGTGGAGAGATTTTCTTTTATATAAATAATGTGTTTGACAAAAGTAACTTGATTTATAATAGTTGGAAGTTATAATTTTTATTTATGTATAAATGTTTGACAAAAATAAATGTTAGCATTTACATCTATACACTTAATTAAAAATAAAAGCCGAAAAACTATTTGAATTAACTTTTGAATTCTAAGTTTTTTTTTTTTGTTTAAGGGTTCAGTTATTTGGACCCTTTTTACTTTCTTAAAGGACTCTTAATAATTACTTTAATAATTACTTTAACCTTTTTTTTAAATAAGCTAATCATTACCAAATAATTATTTTTTTATTAATTATCATTGCATAATATTAGACCTTCATAATTATTTTATATTCTACTTTAAATAAAACTAATCATTACATAATAAAATAACTCAATATAAAGATTTGTTTATAGAAAAAAAATATTATTTTTATAAAAAAGTATTAAAATAACCATATATTTTTTTTTCAAATATATAAAATAAAATATTGTAAACAAAAAAATTTAATTTATTTTTGGTTTTTTAATGCAATTTATTAAAATCATTTTTATATGTAAGCATAATAATAAGTGACTTCAAATACGATATAATAATAATACTTAGTTTTCATTTCAATATTTAATATCATTTTATTTTTATTTTTGGTTTATATAAATATTAAAATATATAGAAACCGTTGATATGTTTGTATTATTATTTGATTATAAAAAAGTAAAATATATAATAAATAAAAAGTTTATAGGAATTAAATGATAAGTACGAGTTTAAAAAAAATTAACTTTTAGTAATCATAAAAGTTATTGATATTATAAATGTACGGAATTTTATGCTTAAAAAGTCATTAACGAAGGGTCCTCTAAGAAAATCTGAGATCCAATTAGTAGGACCCTTGTTTAAAATATAAAAAGTCCTATAAAACATTTTTTTTTAATTCCGAGTTTTTTCTTAAAAACCGAAAGCTAAAAGGTTTCAAAAAATCTCAAAAGATCCGTACCAAACATACTTTAAAAACCTAATACAAGATGCTTAAAAAAAATCCACATCATATTAAAACCATGGTTTTGTGTGTAAACCGCACGAATCAGCTAAGGATGGTTTAGTTTCCTTGACATGGAACATATGTTCACAAATTAACACCGTCTAGTAGATAACTTAAACATAATAATGGTAAAAAAAGCGTAATAAAGGAAAATAAAAAAAACATATCTTTACTATTTTATTGAACAATTTAAGTTTTCATGTTAATGTAAAACCCCCTGCATTTTTTATCTTATGAAAGTATATAAACAACCAGTTTTGTTAATAAATCTTACCTATTTTTAATAATACCTGAAATTGTAAGAGTTTAATCACAAGGCTTAATTAATTAACAAAAGGATAAAAATAAAGTTCCTTATTATTTTGCTGATGAATATAATCTTGGAAACCAACTTATAATGTACAAATCATCAAATCTTTTTGTCAAACATTTTTGTTTCAGAGATTCGTCATTTTGTCCTCTATCTCATGCAGATAATTTCAAACCAGGCACATTCTACCTTTTGGTATATATACACACACACCCTGTAATCATTTTAAAACATAACCATCTAACATATTGCGAACAATATTGTGCAAAGCTCTGAAAATGGACATCTTCTATGCTTCTCTTCTCTCTGTTTTTGTTCTTGTTGTTTCATTCTACCTTCATTTTCTCCTATACAAGTATAAACCAACCGAAGACGGAAAAGTACTTCCCCCAGGTAGAACTGGGTGGCCCATAATCGGAGAAAGTATTGAGTTTCTTGCCACCGGATGGAAAGGTTGTCCAGAAAAGTTCATATTTGATCGCATGTCAAAGTTTTCTTCTGTAGTGTTTCGAACGTCTCTCATGTTGGAAGATGCTGCGGTTTTCTGTGGGGCCCAAGGTAACAAATTCTTGTTCATGAATGAGAACAAGCTCGTACAGGGATGGTGGCCTGCTTCGGTGGACAAAATCTTTCCATCTTCCGACAAGACCTCCAAGATAGAAGCCATTAAGATGAGAAAGATGCTTCCAAACTTTTTCAAACCCGAAGCATTGCATCGTTATGTGCCTATTATGGATGTCGTGACACAACAACACTTTGCCAATGGATGGGAAGGAAAGGATGAAATTGTGACGTATGAACTCACCAAAAACTTCACTTTTTGGCTCGCATGCAAGATTTTTGTTAGTATTGATGACCCTGAACGTGTACGATACCTTTCTACTCCATTTGCGAGCATCGCTTCGGGGATTTTGTCAATCCCTATTGACCTTCCGGGGACAACGTTCAGAAGAGGAATCAATGCTGCCAACTTCATACGAAAAGAACTCTTAGCCATCGTGAAGCAAAGGAAGATTGATTTGGCTGAAGGGAAAGCAACACCAACACAAGATATATTGTCACACATGCTTCTGACTAACGATGAAGATGGAAAGTTCATGGCGGAATATGATATAGCTGACAAGATCTTAGGGTTGTTGATCGGTGGCCATGATACTGCAAGCTCAGCTTGTGCATTTATCGTTAAGTATCTTGCGGAGTTGCCTGAGATTTATGATGGAGTCTACAAAGGTATATAGAGTTGATACAATCGATGCACAATCAACTACTAATAAGAATAGTAAATTAGGATAATTGGAAGATATAAATATAATATTAATTTGTCATCTTAATATGATAAACACATGCAGAACAATCTGAGATAGCAAAATCGAAAGCACCTGGGGAGCTGTTGAACTGGGATGATCTATCAAAGATGAAGTACTCATGGAACGTTGCATGTGAAGTTATGAGGTTAGCCCCACCGCTACAAGGAGCTTTCAGAGAAGCCATTACCGACTTTAATTACAACGGCTATTCTATCCCCAAGGGATGGAAGGTAATTTACACACACGATTAAAAACAAGACTTGTCGTTAATATATAATATATAATTAACATGATTTAACTTAACTAATTTATTTTATACAGTTGTACTGGAGTGCAAATTCAACGCACAAAAACCCTGAGTGCTTCCCAGAACCCCAGAAATTTGATCCATCAAGATTCGAAGGCAGTGGACCGGCGCCTTACACATTTGTGCCATTTGGAGGAGGACCACGCATGTGTCCTGGAAAAGAGTATGCTCGACTAGAAATACTTGTGTTCATGCATCATCTCGTAACAAAGTTTAAGTGGGAGAAAATGATTCCTGATGAGCAGATTGTTGTCAACCCAATGCCTAGTCCAGCCAAAGGTCTACCTATTCGTCTTTACCCTCATAAAGCTTGAAGATGGTGTCATTTATATGGACCAAAGATTTGTGTTTGTGCTTCGGATAAGTAGTAACGTCATGAAGAGAGTCGGTTTCAAATGTTGCACAAATGGGATCTCAAAATCTTTAAAACAGACCGCTATGTTTTGCAATATGTTTCTTGTACATCTTATGTGGTTCTTCTCCTTCTTTTGTAATTCACTGTGATTCAATAATACAGTATTTCATTTATTATACGGACAAAAAACACTGAATATGAGAGTTTTTTTTTTTTTTTTTTTTTTTTTTTTTTTTTTTTTTTTTTTTTTAAATTTTGGGGGGGGGGGGGATTTTCAAGCGGTTGACGGATTAGCTGTTAGCTGAAAAGCTAGCTGATGGCTGAAAAGCTAGCTGATAGCTGAAAAGCTAGCTAATAAAAAATAACGTTTGGTAAAACTAGCTGAAAAGCTAGCTTAAATATATAAAATTACATAAAAGGACATGTAAGAATATGTGTTTCTATAATTAATTAAGGGGTGTATTTGAAAATTTTTAAAAAAGCTCCTAAAAAGCTAGTCTAAGTAGCTTTTCAAAAAGCTAGCTTATAAGCTACTTTTTGGCTTACCAAACACGACAACATAAAAAAGCTCAAAGAATAAGCTAGCTTATCAGCTAGCTGTGGCGCGCCAAACACAGCTTAAGTAGCTTTTCAAAAAGCTAGCTTATAAGTTAGATTATAAGCTACTTTTTGGCTTACCAAACACGACAACATAAAAAAGCTCAAAAAATAAGCTAGCTTATCAGCTAGTTGTGGCGCGCCAAACACAGCCTAAGACTTCTAGGGTAATCTAAAAACGGTGAATTTAAAGCTTATACTTTGGTATTGTGATCAATCTAAAAGGTTTTTTGGTTTTAATTTTTTTTTGAAAGGAATAATCAAACTGAACTTAACCTATGCATTTCCTTGACATGCTATAGAATAGAATGAATTTGTAATTCATTTTCCTATGATTTTCTATTTGGTCTTCCTGTATATCTTGGAAAGTTATTCGTACACAACAGTTTTTATCCGTACATAACATTTTATGCTTAATGGAGTTGTATAATAGAACATTTTAAAACATAAATTGTTATGTATGGAGAAATTTTATTGTGTACAAATAACTACAATATATTTTTGAAGTTGGAATGCAAATAACTACAACCTTTAAAATTACAATTAATGCAATTTCTTTGTAATCTATTGTTTGCTTTATGGATAAGTCTTGAAAATAATAATAAAAATAAGACCAAGTTACATAAATGATCTAGGTAACTTAAGTTTAAATTTTTCCTTGCACCACTCATCCTTAAAATGTGTTTTCCATATGCATGTTCGGCCTTTTAACTTAAAGAGAGGCCATTAACCCTTATCACATGTACTACACACCAAGGACATTTTCGTCTTTCTCTATTTAAATGTTGAGTGTTAATGTATTCCCGCCTTTATAAGTTTTAATTATGGCCTAGATGATCATATCACATCCCTTGATAATAGTTAATGGTTTCAAGAAACCTTATTCTCTTCATCTTCAACATTGTGCTCTTTCCTAACAAGACCCTGATAACCTTTGACGACCATCCCTAAGAAAACAACAACCGACTACTAACCACATATTTAAACGATGGTTGTAACGATGTGATCCATTCATGGAAGAAATGCGGATTGGACGTTGTCACTACGTATGGTGAGTCTAATAGGTGCTTGCTCTTAGTTGATATATATTTGTAAAGTGGTCATGTTCCTCATTGACCCACTATCTTCATTTGTTCCATTTTTGTATAAGGTTTTGAAGTCCAAATAAGTTGTGATGGAAACCAACAAATAATACCTTAAATAAAAAAGATGACAGGATCTCCATATCCTAAATATTTACACCCGTAATTGGAACAAAGTAGTCTGCATCAAGTTTAAAACAAATCTTGAGGAATTGCAATATGATCAAACATTATCTCTAACACAACCAAACTCCAAAAGAAGAACCCCAAGATAAAGAACATGCACAAAATGACTTTCTTCCCCAAAAATATACAAATGGACTTTCAACCGAGCTAATAAAAACATGTGTAACATTCCAAAAATCACAATAATTTTTATTTTTTATTTTTCAAAGACAATTTTTAAAACCACAAGTCATACAAAACAATTTCTCCAAACATTGTAATGCCCTATATGTTAGGTAAATTCCTTAGTTATTTATTTCTCATTTATTTTACTTAAGGACCTCGTACGTTGGGCGTAATTCGAAGAATGCTAGACACGGGGTTAACCCGCTAGTATGTTGGGCATACCTCTGGTACGCTGGCCATACGTGAGTAAGAGGAAACCCGTAACATCCCAAAAACATGGGGTAAAAGTTTCATTTTTATTATAATCAAACCACTATTGTAACTTTGTTCAAAACATTGATACCAACTAATGCTCTGATATCAACTGTGACATTCCCAAAATCACGGCCAGAAAAGACCGGTTTGTTTATGCTTTGTTTAAAAATCAGAGTAACATTTTAAATAAAAGTGTTGCGGAATTTGTCCCAAAACAATAATATGATAAAGATTTATCAAAAGCATTTCCATAGAAATGTATTTCATTAAAAGACTCGGGATGTCATGTTCGTACAGATCAAAAGCATAAACAGTACAATATAAGCCTTACTACATTATTTAATATCTACAGGCCTATATCCGTAATCCCTCGTCCAAAACATCACACCTATGCTCATGCGCCACTACCTGTAATACATAAAACTGAGTGGGTCAGGCTTGGGAGCCTGGTGAGAATATAGGGTTTTCAACCCACAATAAATAAGTTTATTAATTTCATCAATCAACAATAACCCGATTACCCGTTCCCGTTATCCTCACTTTACGTCCCTAAACACCTATCATAAGGGACCTAGCCTAAGGATCATCATCGGGACGGACACTACTGCTAAGGGGATTCCTCAGCAATAAATGTCCTAATAGGCAACCATGTGGGGGATGGAGTACATCTGGTGAGCACACAGTTCAAATAAACACACAGTTCAAATAAACACCTATAGGTTGCGAGCCTGCTAGTGTTCCACTAGACTGTCTAGAATAGTCCGTGGTCGTCATCTATACTCCGCTAGATGACTGGATCATCAATAACATCTATAACGAGGCCTCTCATTATTTTATTTTGTCACACAGCAACTGTTACATCTACCCATGTTTTACCCAACACATTTTGTAGATATAAAATACATATACAGTTTAAATCTTTGAAAACATGTATAAAAGGTTCATCCATCATAGATAGCAAGTATTCAGATAATATGCACACATAGCACGTAATTTATAATAAATACTTCATATCTATGTGTAAGTTGAAAGTAACTATGCACTCACCGGAAAAGGTGGTGATTCCGAACTCAGACAGCGCTTCGCTTCTTAAAAAGAATTTTCTTCGACGAAACCTAGTATTATTACCACTAGAGTTTAGTTTATTATTCGTCGAGACTAACTAATAGTCTAGCTATTATTATTATTATTATATAAGCGTCAAAAAATACTTATATAACCCATAATAATAGCCCAAGTATTTATTATAAGTTCCTAATAACATTACTATAATTAAATAAAAGCTATATTAAAAATAGCGTAGGCGTAGCTCACTTACAGCGGGTTTTATAGAAAACCGGGCTTTGCTTGGAGCAGCGTTCCCGAGCCGAAAAGCTCTTCTTCTCGGAGCCTTCGAGCACTCCGGGGCTTCCGCCTCGTGCTAGGGAGGTTCCCTAGGCTTTTCGGGGGATTTCGGGGCTAGAGAGAGGTTCTAGAGAGAGAGAGAGTAAAGAGAAGAAAGAATGGGAAAGGTGTGAAGAAAATGAGGGTGGGAGAGGTGGTATTTATAGGGTGAAATGTGGCTGAACTTGGTGCCACATGTCACCATCTGGTGGCAAGCCTTGGGGAGAAAGCAATGGCCAAGATTGTGCCACATCACCCATTTTCACAGCACACTTCCGACTTCTAAAATCCGTAACTTTCACATACGACCTCCGTTTTTGACGTTCTTTATATCCACGCGTAGGTAATAATAAGATCTACAACTTTCATTTTGACACCGTCAGCTAATTCTCGACCGATCTTAAATTTAACAGTACAAGGAGATTATACTGTTAAACGTCTGCGTAAAATTAATAACTTCTACATACGGACTCTGTTTTTGTCTGTCTTTTTACCGTTGATTTCCTATTAATGAGATCTTCAACTCTCATTTACGTTGCGTAAGCCAAAAACCGCTCGAACTAAAATTCGAGTTTCGGCCGTGCACTGCTAAGCCGAATCTTAGAAAAATCATAACTTCTTCATACGAAGTCAGATTTGGGCGTTCTTTTTATCGATGTTCTTAGTTTAACATATTCTACGACTTTTGTTTAGATTGCTAAGGCTAAAAAGTCTTCTATCGTAAATTCACTATTTACGTCTCCCGGTGCCGTGCCGGTTTTGCCGTAAAACTTCGGCGGGCCATAACTTCTTCGTTATAGCTCGGATTTCGGCATTCTTTATATGTACGGAAACCTTGAGACATATTCTACAACTTTATGTAGAGATATCGGATTATCTCACACTTTAATTTTGACGCTCATTTTTATTCTTTATTAATTATACATTTATAATTAAATAATAAACACATAAACACACATAATTCACATAATACTCAAATATTTCATATTATTACTTCAAAAAGAGTTACAATAGTTGACCTAGACTATTACATTGACAAAAATGCTTAGCCCTGAAAACCCGGGCGTTACAATTCTCTCCCCCTTAGGATGATTCCGTCCCGGAATCATGCATCAGCAAACAGATGTGGATAGCGACTCATCATGTCATCCTCTGTTTCCCAAGTGAGATTCGGCCCATTCGAATGTTTCCATCGGACTAGCACCAAGTCGACCATCTTGCGTCGTAACTTCTTAGTCTTACGGTCAACAATTGCCTCAGGCTCTTCGATCAGCCTTTTATTCTCATCCAT